CTCTCTCTCTCTCTCTCTCTCTCTCTCTCTCTCTCTCTCCTGTGTCCTGTGTCCTGTGTCCTGTGTCCTGTGTCTCAGTTTCTCTCTATCTCTCTCTTCATCTCTTCTTCCTCTCTCTATGCCTTTCAGCCTTGCATTACACATACATTCTCTTCTTTGGAAATTGGTAAATACAACTATTTCCTGAAAAGGTGTCCTTGCTCACTTCTCCTTATCAGTTCCACCAGCTCTGAGCAAACCCCACTCCTTGGGATCAATGTTTAGGGGCAGCTGTCATGGATTCTGGCCCCTCCAGTAGAGAATCACTCACACACAGAAAAGGACAGCGTGTTAGTTCCTTTATCAGAATTATGCATGGTGGCAATCTCCTGCCAGAGTCAAGAAACATTTTTTTCTTGCATTCCGTGGGAGGTGGTGTGTGTGGAATATCTGCTGCATCTGGCATGATTTGCATAGGTGAGATTGCATAATCTGTGATGCTTTGACATAGGTAGTCTTCTTAGAGATGAGGAAAATACTGGTCAACGTGAAGAGCACTCATCTTCATCCTCACTCTTCTTCCATTATCTACACGCCCCACTGACAGGAAGTGACCTCTAACCACCAATGGGGTGAACAATTACACTCACGTGTGCTGACACACTCAATGCTCCGACCAAAACCCCACATTTCATCCTTCATGGCTCAGAAGTAATTCAGCTTTATAATATGGTCTGTGAGCACCTTAATTATCTGTGATTTCTTCTGTGTAGAGGATCTCCTTAAGACTAAATTCCATAAACCCTACTGGGGCACTTAGTGATTGTTGTAATATTTGATGATTCATCTTATATTGCATAGATAGAAGAGTCCTGCTGGCTCCCTAGCAGCTCTGTGGCCCATTTGTCACGTGGAGGGGTCATCACTCACTACATGAAGTTATTTTATCTAAAATGGAACAACTCTCTAACAGTTCTCCTTAAGGATAGTTTTCTAATTTCAAAGAGCTTCAGTTACCTTAATTTGATTCTGCTGGTTTTCTTGCTATGTTTAAGAACAAAAGAGGCTCTGAAGACTGGCTCAAATTTCTTGAAAGTTTACTATAGTCATAATAATATTGTTATTGGCCACTGTATCAATGATAGACTTCAGTCTCCTCGTGGTGGTGCCTGAATCCCTCTCCCATAGTTTCCTTAGAGGATCTCTTATGGTCACCATGGGAATTTCCCTCCTGTCTATGTTCTTGCATCCTGATCTATAATGAGTTTAAATAGAATACTCAAGAGAAGGAGATGGCGGCGAGGCCCGTGGCTGCCTTCCACAGACATTGCCCAGGGGTCTGTGCAGTTTTCATTCATCTTTCCCCATCTGTTTCTTAATTCTATTGCTCCCAGTGCACAGCTGACGGTCGGGTCTTTGGATGTGTGCCTCAGTCCATCTGTGCTGCTATCACAGAACGGCTGAGGCTCTGGGGAGGAATAAGCATTCCACCCTCAAGTTCTGCTTGCTAGGAGGACTCAGCACTAAGTTCTGCCATCTATTGCAGCTTCTGCGCTGTGTCATCACAGCAGCAGGGAAGCCAGGTGGCTCCCTTGCACCCTTGTCATACAAGTTTTAACCCTTTCAGGAAAGAAATGCCCAGTACCCATCCACGCTATAACTTTGGACCAGTCTGTCAGACCAAAGCAACAAACTTCAAAAATTAAACCTCAGCCCAACTGTTTTTTTCTTGATCCACTCTTTATCACACAAGTCACTGCACAGCAAAGTGTGGGTTCTGGGTTTTTGTTGTTGTTGTTTTGGTTTTGGTTTGTTTGTTTTTTTTGCGGCTTTTGTCTATTACTAGATGAGTGCAATTTTTTAGGCTGGTGATTCCATGGCCGGAAATGTAAGACTGTATCCTGTAGACCTGATGCAGTTTTTTGTACTGCTCAGCTCGGGGTGCCAGGCAAAGTATCAAGGAGGCTTCTACACGGAGAAGTGGAGCTGAGCAGGCTCTTGGTGCGAGGAGCCCCCTGCAGCTCTAGCACCACTGAGCCATCTTGTATTTGATGGGGAGAGGTCTCCCCACCTCTCACCTCTCCATCCTCACGTACTGTCACAATGGCCATTGAATTCCAGAGTGGCCATGAATGGACATATTGCAACCATAGCACCTACAGAAGTGACTATCTCCATACTGTTCATTTGCTTTACTTGGCCACACACGTGTCTATAGGGGATGGTGTCTCTTTCCATGGCTGAGCTGTGAGCACTGGATCCTTCGAAGAAATTACTCGCTCTTTCATTGTGCTTTAATGACTCAGCCCACAGCTGCACTGTAACCCCCTGAGACGTGGCCCTGCGTCAGCTGCCTTTGTGGAACCCGGTTCCTATGTTCCATGTAAGGCAGGCCCCGAAGCACACAGGACCATGCTAACATGGAAAGCTGAGATAGCAAGTGAAGAAAAATTAGGAAGATAATTTCCCAAATGAAAACCTTTTAGTTGAAAGGAAGGTAAAACCTAGAGAGCAATGTAGTTCCTTTCTGTTGTAAAAATTATAAAGAATGGCCCTGAAAAGAAGGCTCCTTAGTTATGAGCATGTTTTGCTCTTGTAGAGGACCTGGGTTCAATTCTCTCCACACAGTTGGTAGCTCACAAACATCTATAACTCCAATTTCAGGGTATCTGATGACCTCTTCTGACTTCCATAGGCTCAAGACACACATACACACATACAAAAAAGTACACACACACACCATATATATGTATGCATGCAGGCAAGCAATCATACATATAAAATAAAATGAGTATGCTTTTATGAAATAAAAATACAGGGAATGCACAATGTAAGTGTACACCATGATAAACTTAATAAATAGCAATAAATATGAGATACCACTGCTATGTATATGGATAACAGAAATTAATACACCCCCCATTTCCCATGGGATAAAATTAGACCCTTTCTGTTCTAACAGGCACACAGTGAGGGCTTCATCTAAACTACAAAATAAGGGGATGGAGAGGTGGGCCAGTGGTTAAAATCACTTGCTGCTCTTATAGAGGATCTGAGTTAGTGTTCTAACATTCATGTGTTCGCCGTCACTTGTAACTCTAGAGGGGATCCAATGTCTTCCTTTGACCTCTGTGGATACACTTATACATGTGCACATGCACACAAACATAAATGTAAATAAAAATGAAATAAATATTTAAAAAATTAAGGAATAAATTACAAAATGAAGTAGACAGAAAGAAAAGACTCTTAGTTCTTTGGGGTGCCTTTGTACAAAATGTAGTAGGTAAAGCATAGGTGTCTCTAGTGTATTTGCAAAGAGTTTCCCATTGTTCTTACAAGGAGAGAACATTTATTTTCAGAGTGTGCAGCACATTTTTCAGGAAGAAGGAAAATAACCCCAGGCAGAAATGTCTGCTGAGTTGGGATGTCTTCATTCCAGTGTTTCCTGCAGAGTCTCTGGGTTGCCCGTTCTTGAGCTCAATGGGTTACCCTTCCCGTCTTTTCCCTCTCTGGAGCATAGTAGACTCAGGTCAAATTAGGAAGTGCTCTCCCGCAATGCTGAGCTGAGTTTGAGTGTTTTGGATCTAAAGCAGATATTTGCCCCAAGTGTAGAACAAAGCAGGTGACAGTGGCTGTATAGACCTCAGAGGTTAAGCAGTTACTTGATGAAATGAAGGAGGAGCTTATGTCGAGTGTTCTACAGTGAGATTTTAGTAAAATTCTAATAACCTGATAAGAATGAAAAAATAGTTGGGTTTGAAAATAAAGCAATAAGGAAAGCACCAACGAATTAGATTACTCTTTGTGTTCGTTGACAATACTTATTTTAAGATGTAAAGATTGGAGAATTGGAGATTGGAAACCAGAAATTAGAGGCACCTTTCCATAAAACCGCAGTCAAGGTTCCCACTTGATCACACAGCTCCCTTGGGAGAAATGGCCCTGCTCTTCCTACAGTAAAGAGCATTCCTCAGTTAAACTTTCCTTATCTCTCTTCTGCTTAGTTTTTATCATTAGCTTGACAAAACATAGAGTCACCTAGGAAAAGGGACCCTCCAATTGAGAAATTTCTTGGATCATATAGTGGCTTGTGGGTGGGCCTGTCCTGATTTCTGTTTAATTTAGGAGGACCTCTCTTTCTAAAGGATCATCCCTAGGCAAATGGTCCTGGCTGTCTAAGAAAGCAGACTGAGCCAGCCTGAGAGCAGGCCAGTAAAGGAAAGTCTGATGAGAAAGCTTACTATCAGGCCTGTCTTTTTTGCTTTCAGAATATGACCTGGAGCCCTGTGATGACCCTGGAGTCCCTGCCTTCAGCCGCAGAATTGGGTTCCAGTTTGGTGTGGGTGACACGCTGGCTTTCACCTGCTTCCAGGGATACCGTTTAGAAGGTGCAACCAAGCTTACCTGCCTGGGTGGGGGACGCCGAGTGTGGAGTGCACCTCTGCCAAGGTGTGTGGGTAGGTGGCCACACGCTTTCATTTCATTCATCCATGGGCAGTGGGTCAGGAAACAGGGAGGGGGCTGGCCAGGAAAGACAGAGGTGAAGCTGGACCCGCCTGGGCTGTGGGGACCTACCTCGCTTCTGGAGCCTAATTTATCTCATCTGTAAACAGTATCTCTGTCAGTTAGAAGGGTCTGTGAGTAGAAAAAGGAGACCGGAGTATGTGCCCAGGGTCTCCCTGAAGTTTCACAGAAACATAAGTGTAATAGTAATAATAATAACAATAATAAACTCAGAAAATGAGGAAAGGGAAATACTAGCAGACATGCTATAGTAAGACCAGCTCTGCGGTTGCTGAGATCCATACTCCCTATGATGACAAAGAGCAGTTCATAATAATGCCTTTGTTTCCCTTGGAGCCCTTGGTTGTGTGTTTGCTGTACATCCCGACCAAGAAGCATCACCAGTGTTGGGATGAGAGTTTGTCATCTGTGAGAAGGCAGACAGTTGTTCTGCTACGCAGTTTAATACAGGCCTTTGTTTGGGTTATTTTCAAGGAGGTTCTCAGGGCAGGCTTACATCAGTGCAATAGTCCAGGGCAGTGGTACTGTACTCCCATTGGGCATTGACTGGAAGAGTGGAGCCACCATTGCCATTCTGGCTTCAGCCCAAGACCTCTGTGGCACCTGAAGACCTGGTCATTATTCCTGAGACACAGTCTGGCACCTGTTGCTCCACCACAACACTCAGCAATGGTCTTCTCAGGACCAGTTCTTTAAACAGACAGGCACCCTAACAAAGAAAAAAGAATGCAAGAGATAAGCCCTGATATCCTTCAAGACTCCCAGGTTCACAGAAGTGGATCAAAGGGTCATTCCAAACCCCCAGGTCACAAAACAGAAGCAGGAGTGGGAGCCCTGGAGAAACTGAATAAGGAGAAAATCCCCCAGGTTATTAGAATATGGCCATGTTTCTTCTATTCTGGGCATGACTTAGGAATGCTTGGAGTCCAACAGTCAGTGGTGGCCTTTGGCTTCTCATGAGCCACGGAGTCAGGAGACAAAGTTGTCAACATCAAAAGTGGTTTCTTCCTCTTCCCATCTTTCCCCACTCTCATCCTGTGTTGAAAAACCTCACCCAAGTTTCAAAGACTATCTGGACATTGTTATGGGGATTTCCCAGAGTTCTCCGGGATGAGTTCTCCACATTCAAATATTTTAACAGTTTGAGTTAACAGTTTGAGTTTTGGGGAAACCCACCTGAATAGAATCGAGCAATTAGCCTAGAGATTGTGGCAGTCAGGTGTTATGCTCTTTTACTTCCTTCCATCATTACAACCCTGTTTTTCTCGGTAGTCAAGATTTTACGCGGTTATCTTAAATATGAAATAATGACTGAGCTCTGTCTGGAGGGTACTGTGAACTTTGCCTGTCTTAATGTGTTTAGTTAGTGGTGTGTCTATGAAATAAGCATCATATTGGCGGCTGTATCTTAAAGGTAGGACAGCTAAGGCAGAATCTCATCAGGAAATCCCATAGCTTGCAGAAGCCATTGGCTCTCAGGCACCCACAGCCCTGGGAAGAGCCTCCAGGGGCCATGCATTGGCTTCTTCTCTATTCAGCTTTTTGGACATTGCCGGCTCCTACTGGATTTCTTTCTAGCACAGCAGGTGGCAAGACAGCTCTGATAGAGTGTCACACACTACACTGAATCCAACAGACATGAGCCATACCTGGCACTGCTCTAGTGGCCCACGCTCACTGGCTTCCAGTTCCGACGAGTTCCTCGGCTATGCAGCTCAGGAGTCAGCTCTGCTCTCGGGACTCTGCCATCTCTGCACTGACCCCTGACTGTCCCCACTGACCCCTGAGACCTTTTATTCACCTCTTGATAGAAACATGCTAAGTCACCTCCCATTTTACTCAAAAACAAAACCTTCCCCTAGTGATGGCCATGGTAGACTCACCCAGGCTTGTACTGTTTTCATTCAGTTTGTCTTTACCTGAACCAAGAAAGGCTTTGTGCTGTGGGCATGGGTCAGGAATTCGCTTGGATTCATTATCATCCCTTGGACCTATCATAGTTCCTTCTCTGGAGCCCTAAGAGCAACCTAAGAGTATCAGAAGGATACAACAGACCTTCTTAAACCCATGATGGTCCTAGAGTTCCAGGAATACTCTCTCTTCCTTTCATCAATTGTTATGAAAATAAAATTGATTTGTCCCTGGCCAAAAGTTACAATCCACCCCAGTGATTTCAGGCTGAGTATATCTAGGAAATACGTACTATACAGGATATGGTACAGACATATTTAAAATGAATGAACATGAGATGTATATTCTAATAGAAGCACACATCCAACAATATTTTCTGTACAAAGGTTCCTTTACAAGGGTACAAAACCTCACACATTCTCCAGTGTCCAGTGGTTACAAATACTTTAGAGAGGCCTGAAAAGACAAAGTAGTCTGCCTGAATTTTTGACTCTATGTATTTCTTCTAGCACTAAATTTACTGTGAAATCATTGGACATTCTCTTTAGATGTCATCGTCTTTGTCCCCTGATTCTTTAGTTCCTTTATATCTCTTGATTACGTGTTTACAAATTTATTTATTTATTTATTTATTTATTTATTTATTTATTTATTTATTTGTGTCTATATGTATATGAACATATAAATGCACGTGTCTCTGGAGGCCAGAAGAGGGTGACAGGTTCCTCAGAGCTGGGCTTAACTGTAATTTTGAGCCTTTCAATGTGGGTGCTGGAAACTCCTGGCCCCCTGCAAAAGGGGCAAGTATTCTTAACTACTTACTGAGCGATCTTTTCAGCCACTTTATTCATACTGTTATAAAAAAAAAGCTGAATTTTTTACTTCTGTCTATTCATAATGCTTTATCCAATGATAACATGAATTAGAGAAATGGGTTTATGAAAAGAAACTGAGTGAATAGCCCCATTCATGCAATTTCTAGACACCTTGAGTCAATACAGGACTTATGTTTCATTGGGGAGGGCTTCCTCTGTTCTGGGAACAAGTACGCAGCTTATCTGAATGTCAGGATAAATTGCCCTTGAGTGATGAAGAAGTAGATATTGTTACTTTTATTTTACTGCTTTTTTCTTCTTCTGTTCTCCATACCCCTGCTCCAAATCAAGTGTCTATGTAAATGAAAGTGAATTATTAGTTTTGTCCTTTTCACAACAGTCCCAGAGGCCCCACCATAATTTGTGCAAAATTATAATAGCTGCAGACATATATCTCTTCTCCCAGTGGTCACATCTTCAAACCGGGGACCTGTCTGACCTTATGGCCTCAGTGCTATGCAGAGGAGCAAGTCTATGAGGTGGCTTAAGCCTGCCTCCAGTTTAAGTATCACACTGGCATATTGAAAAGCTATATTCCATATGACCAAATACTAAGGAATCAGCATCTCCAACAAAATAGCTTTCTTATTATTGAATATTTGTTAATCTCTATAGATTGTTCGTGAGAATCGTGGTGTCGGTCTTGCAGCCTGCATCTGAGCAGTGTAGATCTGTGGGATCTGTTGCTTGACCTTGCAGGCATTATCTGCTGCAGCAGCTCTGGGAGTATGAGAACACTGGATCCACAGGGTGACACCCTGCATAGACGAATGAATGCCAGAGTCGATTGATCCCAGCCCTCCACAGCTCCTTTTATTTGAGTCGATTTAAGACTAAAGCTCTCAAAAGGAGTTCAGTTTTTATTACTGTTTTATTAGGGTCCTCTGTAAAAAAGAAAGTGATTTGTATCAAGGGATAGGCTATCCCACAACTTCAGGGAAATATTAAATGAACTATAGAAAAATCTTAAAAGACTTTAAAAGAAAACATTTAGCTGCTGTGATGATGAGGAGGTCACAGTGGATTCCTTGAACAAAGCACAAAGAATTTTCAGCACTCGGATCAGTTAACTTTGCAATCTTCTGAGCACGTGTTTTTGTTGTTGCTTTGTTTTTTATCTTTCATGTACTTTGTTTACTATTATCGTAGAAAAAGGAAAATAACTAGTTTTCATTTGTGTTAACAGAAATGCAGTTGAAAACCGCAATGTAACAAGACACCAAATTTTAAATTTAAATGTTAGCAAAGATTTCATGGCCTGTCCGTGATTCGTTTCCATAAGCTTAGTTCTCCAGTGTACCGTCTGGATACGAGGTGTAAATACCCAGTGTGAGCAGCAGAGAGGCTTTATCCTTTCCACGTTTCTGGTGCATTCTAGGGTAGAACCCACAGGGCAAGGGGGTAGGTTCTGGCTAAGTCTAGTCAGCTGATGCAAACTGTAAACCTGCAGTCCGCAAATACCCGTGAGGATGGGGGCAGGCAGAGAGGAAGGGAGGTAGGAACTGTCCTCTACAGAGAGAAAATTGGAGCTCCTGCTTATTAAGTGTGGGTGCTTTGTTTTCTGTAGCAATTTCCTCCCTGGGATGAAGCATCAGGGCTCAGGAGTCCTCTCATGCTCTTTGGCATATTTCCAGTTTATTTGCTGTGTCCATCTTTACAGACTGAATAGGCTTAATTTTTAAACAGTCTGCCTGAAGCAGGTCACAATATAACCTTAGCATGATGGATTGCACCTACCTAAGATTGTTACTGTTCAGCCTGTAAAAATTCTCTACCTGGCAAGTTCGTCATGGAGAGGAAAAACAGAACAAACAAACACAATGCACTTAAAAGTTTGACGGTTGTAAACAGTATGAGAGCCAGGGAAATCCTGTTCCATTGTGACTGAAACTAGGAAAATAAACCACTTCAAATAGAGCGCCAGGCAGTTGATGTGACAGAGGCCTGGGCTCCCCAGACACACTGCCCATGCAGAGATGATGATGATGGTGATGATGATGATGGTGATGATGATGATAATGTGATGGTGATGATGATGATGATGATGATGGTGATGATGATGATGGTGATGATGATGATAATGTGATGGTGATGATGATGATGATGTGATGGTGATGGTGATGGTGATGATGATGATGATGTGATGGTGATGGTGATGGTGATGATGATGATGTGATGGTGATGATGATGGTGATGATGATGATGATGGTGATGATGATGATGGTGATGATGGTGATGATGATGATAATAGTGATGATAACGTGATGGCGATGACGATAGTGATGATGGTGTTGGTGATGGTGATGATGGGGATAATGTTGATGATGATAATGGCAATGGCTGTGGTAGTGGTGGCAGTGGTGGTGATAGCATTGCTACCTTTGTAATTGGTAATTATTTTCCCTTCAACATTTTAGAGCTGAGGGAGTTCTTGACTGAAATTCTTCACTTCCATAGATGAGAAAACTTACTTATATGGTTTCCTCAGGCTTCCTAGAAAGTTGGGTCCCATTATTTCATGCAGATTTGGTGCTGGAAGTTAGTGACTCCATTTTACCATTCTGAAAAGGGAGAGCAGTCAATCCCTGTCACCTAATGCTCTTCTATCCCCAAATGAAATCTGAGCTCTATGCCATGTGACCAAATAATTTGGTGGCTTTGTCTGCCTTTAGGTTCCCCCTTTATCATACCCTGGTTGGTGTCACACAACCTAAGCAGAGGAAAATTACACCAATATAGGAGTAAACCAGACAAATTGGCCTGAGCCAATAAAGAGTCAGAAAGGAGGTAAGATGAAGACCATGGCACTTGGAGCATGTTGATTTTATTCTAAAACTTCTACCTAGCAGTGTGCAGGGTTGGTGTAGCAGAATCATATAGTTAGTGGAAATAGGAAAAACCTGGAAATGAAATTAATGGGATGTGTTTCCAGCTGAGTTGTAAAGCACTGAAAACCTGTCACTGATCTTCTCTTGAGAATATCCTTGGAAAGCTGGTGCACATTGATAGATATTGGAGAGCCATTGGAGTTTTTAATCTACTTTAATCAATAATTCCACTTTTGAATCCTCTTTTTTAATGTCCTGTTTATTTTAGCTGAATGTGGAGCAAGTGTCAAAGGAAATGAAGGAACATTACTGTCTCCAAATTTCCCATCCAATTACGATAATAACCATGAGTGTATCTATAAAATAGAAACGGAAGCCGGCAAGGGGATCCATCTCAGAGCTCGGACCTTTCAGCTCTTTGAAGGTGACACTCTAAAGGTAAAATACTTTGTAGACTGAAACGGAGTCTTTTCATCCCAGGGAACCCATCACCAGGCTACCTGGCATCTGTTATCTGCTAGTTATGTTCAATCTATTTATTTGTCTGTGTGTCTGTCCATTTGTGTCTATCTCTATGTCTATTATATATCTACCATCTGTCTGTCTAGTATATGTCTATATCTTCTATCTGTCTGTGTGCTTATGTGTGTTTATCTGTCTTCTATTATCAACCATCTAGGAATGGTGTATCAATATCTACTTATCACCTATTTATCATTTATGTATATATTTACCATCTCTTGTATTGATCAAGCCATTTATCTTTATGCCATTTTACATAGACATATTGATATGCCTTTACTTACATAGTATTTAATCCTGTTTATCTGAGAAATCATTGCATAGTCGCCTGTGTAGACTTGGAAATCATCTCTGGAACAATTGACCAACACTGCTAAGTCATGTATCTTGAGAATATAATTTAATTTGCAGCGTGGTTTCCTCGTGTGTGAGCATACAAGGACACCGATTGTTCTGGCTGCTTCAGTGTTATGGTAATGCATAATAGTAGCTGTGAAAACTGACAGAACAACCTGCCCACTCTTTTCTCTAGTTATTTTTAGTTGTCAACTGTGGTCACCACACTTAGATGGGGAAAGATCTCATAGAGTGATGAACGGAGCCCAGCCCTTATGCATAAACAAAACTCTGGGTGAGCCAGAGTCTCAGCATACAACAGTGGGATACCAGGTCCTAGCTGGTCAGATCCCAGCTCTAGCAGAAGCATGCTTAATGTTGATGTTTCTCTAGTAGCTGACTTGTCTTCAGTAACGATTTCAAGGAATTGAGGACCTTCCAGGACCTAGGAAAGGAAGGCAGACATTGGTAGACTCAGCCCCAAGACAGTGATAAACAAGGCTTTGAAATAAAAGGGCATAAACCATGGAGCTCACTCCCTTCTCCTTCCAGAGAGAAGGGATCAGTTCTCAGGTCACAGGGTTGATTTGTCAATGGAACACTGTGCTGTTGTTATTCTCAGGTCCTTGCAAGGGCCCGGATTTGCTAAGTTAGAGTCAGCTGTGAGAACACAGCAAGGGCACCTCTCAGATGCTGTGCCTTTTACTCCCATTAAGCTGTGAGAGGGTTGAAAGAGTCGCTTCAGAGGAGAGAGTGGCCACCCCCTGCTGGCATCCCTTCACCTGGGGCTGAGTGTGCCCCTCTGTGCTTCACTCAACCTCAGGAGTTGTGCCATGCGTGGGCCCGTAGACTCCTATATATTAGCTGTCTTCCTTCTTCCCCTGCCCAAGATGGGCTATTTTTCAATGCCACAATTTAACAGTGTCACTTTTTTTTCTGGTTATTCTTTTATTTCAATAGACTTTCATGGTCTCATGCTGAGAGCATGAAGGGCTATAATTACGCCAGGAAACAAGCAGTATCACTAAAGTAAGTGAGGGTGCAAGCAGGAAGTTTCTAGACTCTTTGATAACCTCAAATATAGAAGTCAAGTACACCTTTGAGATAAACTTTTAGGTAAGACTTAAATGTGTGCGGGGTGTGCTGGGGGACTGATGAGGAGCACAGCGAAATGCATGCTGCTCGACAACATTGGAGCACAGGGAAGGAAAGAATTTCCATTTGGAAACTTGTTAATTATACACAAATAAGTAAAAAAAAAAAAAACATAAAAAAGAAGACAAAAACAATTTTGCTTACCACACTGAATTGCAGGGAAACTGCCCAACATTTAAAAAGCCGTTGCATTTGTTTCTCAGGCTTTGTTGCGTATTATCATAAATACTTCATATGTAAGGAATCTGTTTCAACTTAAATCATCTTCTTAGGGGCACAGGCTACTCACACTCATCCTTCACACCACTGTGGCCCAGCAATAAGGACTTTTTATTTTCATACTTGCAGATACAAACAATGTGAACAGAGGCAAGAACTCAGTCATCTTGTCTGCAAGGAAACAGGTGTCCTGGAAAGATCTCCAGGGCTCAGCTGTGACTCTAGGTGTCACATAGTGAGTTGTGACCGATGGGGGTCCATCCCTGTGGGCCTAAGAACCAATTCAATGCCAAACTGTGGTAGGGGAGGTGGTGGAAGCCTAGATTCTTATCACAGAGTGTGGAACAGGAGACCCCAACTGCTTCCCTGACAAGCACAGGAACTCTTGAGTCTGTAGCTGGTGGCTGAGGGGCCTCTGCCAAGCACACCCCAACATAACGTAGTCCATCTTTTTGTCTTTGTGAGTGAAGGCAACTGTGAGCCTCATATTCACTCCACAACCAAACAGCTCCAGTCACTCACTGTGGGCCAGCTGCATGCCTCACTCTCTGAGAGCTCATTCCGGGACGTTCACAGCTGGGCTCAGAGCTTAAGCTCTGGTGACGTGAACAGGGCTGGAAGACTTGGTGTCCTGAGAATACTGACAATTACGCAAGCTTTTTTATTTTTCCTTTTTTCAATATAATACTTCTATTGATTATTTGAGAATTTTATACAGTGCATACCAATCACACTCACCTCCCATTATTCCTAGGTCCATCCTCCTATCCTTGTGACCTCCCGTGCAAAAAAAGAAAAAAGATACACCACTCCAATTGGTGTTGCTCATATACTCACTGGAGCACGGCCAAACTCCCAGTGACATCCCCCTTAAAATAACTGAGTCCTTCCCTACTGTACCCCCACCAGAAGTCATCAACTGTAAAGAGCTACACCTCAGCATCTTTATCACAATGTTTAAGGACTCTCTTCAATCGCTTCCTATTTAGACTGTCCCACTATGAATGAGAACCCACGGAACCACTGATAGTTTGGCCAAGAGCTCCATGGTGCCCTGTATAGGCAGGGGTTCAATACTGAACAATGGGCTCATCTGTGTGTAACTTATTCTCTGTCTTCACACTTCCACAGGCACGCCCATAAAATAGAGAATAGCCTGGTATATGGTAGGATCCAGGGGCTTTCAGAGGAACCTGGATATTTTCTCTTGGACATAGAACCCATTATTATTATTATTATTATTATTATTATTATTATTTGGATTTTCAAGACAGGGTTTCTCTGTAGCTTTTTGGTTCCTGTCCTGGAACTAGCTCTTCTACACCAGGCTGGCCTTGAACTCACAGAGATCCGCCTGCCTCTGCCTCCTGAGTGCTGAGATTAAAGGTGTGTGCCACCACCGCCCGGCCATTGAACCCATTATTATGAGTGTCAGGGCTCTTCTTACATCTGACAGAGCCGCGTTTTGAAGTAATGTTTATAAATAGAATAAACATTCTATTATTATTGAAAATAGCCTTTCAATGAGGAAGTGCTATTTTCTTCTACAATTCAAGTATTTGCATGTTTAATTGCAGTGAAGTAAAATAATTGCTCAATTATTTTTCTGAACGTGTTGTCTTTTGATGAGTACATGTAGGTAAGATCATCCTGTTGAGGAACTTATGGTTCATGCCTTGTGGAGGGAGGTGACTGTGAGGGACTAGGACTTAGACATATTATTGGCAGGCAGACAGCTAGGGAAGGATCCTGCAGACAGATAATAAAGACGATAAACTTCCACCTTCTTCCTCATCCTCCTGACCAAGAACAAAGTGATGGCAGGGTTCCTCTGCCAGCTGACTGGTTGTGGCTGCTCAGATATGTTCAAGAATTGTCCTAAGTCTGTTCACCTGAAGCTGTGAGTCTATCAGCTCCCATTTCTTTGTCTAAACTGACAAACCCAAAATAAAGTGCATGAGAGGGTACTTATCCCAGACCACCAGAAACATTTAAAACCACATCCCTCTCAGGGAAAATGGGATTTTGATTTTTAGATTTTCTTCCCACTTTGTGGGGATTCTCTCTGTCTGTCTCTTTCTGTGTCTCTTTGTCTCCTCTGTGTCTCTGTCTCTGCCCCTCCTTCTTTGTATATATGAATGCGTTCCTCTTCACTTTTAATAAAGTTTGTAACCTTCTGCTATCTGCTGCATATGACCTTTTTCCTGCCTTTTAATTCTACAGTGGGTGGGGGAAATGAACCTGATGAAAACATCTGGACCAGTGGTTCTGAACCTATAGGTCTAAACCCCAGTATGGGTTGCACATAAGATATCCTGCCTATCAGATATTTGCATTAAAGTTCATAACAATAGCAAAATTACAGGTATGAAGTCAATGAAATAATTTTATGGTTGGGGGGGGTCACCACAACATGAGAAATTGTATTAAAGGATCACAGCATTAGGAAGGAGGAGAACCATTGCCTGAGATGGTATATCGGCAGAAGGAGAAGTTCTGTGAGAGGGGACAAGAGTGGGAGTGGACCAGACATCAGTTGAAGCTATAGACGTCTCTGGTGACCATATTCAGGCTCCTCAAGAGAATCTACTGCATTTTTAATCTTCTTTCCATGAGAACTTTATCCACAAGGTTTTCATCTGTGGGTGAGGGAGGCAAAGGTCACCATTCCCAGTCAGCACACCACCACCACTAGGAAAGGAAAGGCTGTCACACTCAAGTGTAACCTAATATCTAAGACAGAGTCAGATTTTCAGCAGGAAGAGTTCAGCTGGAAGAGGAGGGATATGTGTCACAGGCTCTGCATAGAGTAGCCATCCAGTGTGTGGGGTTCGTTCCACAGAGGTGAGAATCCACACTTTACCCTAAACCTCTGTTCTGCACCCTCACCCCCAAAGTCTCTTTTGAGCCAAACTCTGGGGTCTTTTTCTCCTCATAGAGATTACATCTGTCTACTCCACACCACTCAGAAACAGTCTCACATCCGTAGGATTTCGTAGCAAGCTCTGCCATTGCTGTGTGATAGGACCCTTTTACCATGGTGCATTCGCACGCCAGACCACAAATGGCGACGGTTTAGACACTGCCATGGTTCAGTGCATAGACAGAGGGGAAGGGAGATTGAGATACCTGTGCCACGCTGTTGCTGCTCCTGATGCCTTTGCAGTGGAACCCAGAAATGCAGAGATATTTAATTTTTAAAAAGATGAAAATTGGCCTTCAAAGCAATGAATGGAAAATGATCTGACCAAAAATGAAACTAGGACTCTTTTGTCTGTGATGTTAATGGGAAAAGAAAAATGGAAAGAAAATAGATTATTTAGCTCCGTCATCCATCTGTATTTCTGTCGACTAAGTTTGAAGTTCTGAATGAAACTACATCCTTAAAATATCGAATGGCTTGTTAAAATTGCTGCCTAACTGCACAGCTTAACAAAACTGGGGACTTCCTCTGCATCCTTTCCCCAGGTTTATGACGGAAAGGACAGTTCCTCGCGGTCACTGGGAGTCTTCACAAAAAGTGATTTGCTGGGGCTGGTGCTAAACAGCACCTCCAACCACCTGCGGCTGGAGTTCAACACCAACGGGTCAGACACTGCCCAAGGCTTCCAGCTAACCTACACCAGTGAGTAACCCAACCAACCGCGAACATTAACTTGGCTTTCAGTTAGGGCACAGCACACCTACTACTTAGCATTAAAATGAATTTATGTGATGGGTTTCTTTGCTGGCTGTACACTCTGCACTGACTTGAAGTTTTAATAATCTCCATTGTTGATGAGGCAGTAACTTGGGCATTTTAATAGAGGCCATAGTTTTACATTGGTGCATAGAGAAGGCTTCCTACTTTAAGAATAAAACAGCTTGGCCTGAAAAGGAAACATCTTGTAACATTTAGAAACAGACTGCGTATAAAATTAGAGATTTTTGTATAATGAAGCTGATCAAAACCTGATGAACATGCATGTCGAAGTTTATGGAGAGGAAATTGGTATAATTAACAGTACTCTTTGAAGAACTGATTATGGTGTATATACATACATACATAATCATATACAAATAGGCACATATACAAACGTATAACAACTGGGCATATGAAATATTTAGGGAGAGTATTTGATATAATAATTAATAATCTTCGAATGATTGATATATAGTACATATACAGATCTGTATTTATGTTCTCTTTTAACATTGAATTATACTAATGTATATGTAAGTGTGTGTGCATACGTGAGTTTATGTGCGCCATGTGAGTGGAAGTGCTTGCAGAAGCCAGAGAGTGTTGGAGTCTCTGGAACCAAAGTTACAGGTCGTTCCAAATCACCTGACATGGGTGCTGAGAACTGAACCCAAGTTCTCTGTGTAGCAGTATGCACACTTCACTACAGAGCCGTGTCTGGAGAACTCTGTGTATGCTTATATATGTATATAATCATATGAATCTATCTATATGAGCACATACACACATGCAAGTGCCAGGCTGTTATCCCTGGCGAGGATGAGGGTACCTGCCACTTTGTATCAATAAAGGAAGCATTTCAATTAAGATGCTGAGTAAATCTCAGGCAGCCCAGTTTTCCATTGATCTGAAGGTTTGTGGCTTTGTGATATTGACTCTGGGGCCGGAGAAGTTTGAAAATTTCATATTTAATCAGGAAGTTCATGAGGGTTTGTCAGAGCTGCTGCCTCTGCTTGAAAGATAAGCATATGAGGGACAGGGATGGTCACAGTCCCACACCTGCTCTCCTGAGCTAGTGCAGGTGTCTAACAGGAGGATGAACCAACTCAGACCGTTATTACAGTTTCATTTATCATTTCCTGCTTCCAAAAGGCAGGCAGTAGGATGGGAAGCCCACAATCATGAATGCTTCCAGAATGTTATAAAGAAATGTCTGGAGTTCAAAGAGCTCTCCAGGAGATAAACACAGAGAGATGGTGGTAAAAGTAACCTCAGAGCTAAAGGAGCAGTTATGCAGGGCGGGGCTCTTGTCTCACAGGACTCCTCTACAGCACGGTTTCTAGACATGGTGACAACATGTCTCAGGAAAGGGCTGCCCTAGAGCACCCTTCCCACGACAGCACTGAATGGTTCTGGGTATTGTTGAATGACAAGCTGGACCCCAGCGGGTCCCTGGGTTCAGATTATATGCAGATCACTGTTTAGTTGGAAAGAGAGAAATAGGGACAGTCACTGGTCCGTACGGTATCCATCCGAGGGCCAGCTTTCTCTGGGTGGATGGTGCCCATCCTTCTGGTCCCTGAAACTGTTTCTTGTGTTTTTGCCTCAGATTCTGGTCATTCTTTATTGTGCTTAGCTATCTCTTCTTCTACAAAGCTGCCATTATGCATTTGCCTGGCTACTGGTGGTCATTTCCCCTCTTACCTCTCAAATCACAGAGGCTTTGTTTCAAAGCATGGAAGACACAGGCTGCCTCTGATTCTCCATGATATTGAGTGAGCAAATGAGCAGATTGCTTGCATGTGTGGGGATACTCTCACCCTCTGACCTTAGCATTGCTGTTAGCGCCATATAGGGATGTGGGTGTCTTCTAGAGGTCAGAGGCAGTGGGGAACATCAGTTCTAACTCCTAACCTTTCTTTGCTGTTTTTGACATAGGGAGAACAAGACACCTTGGGTTAGAGGCACCATGGTTATTGTAAGATACATGGAGAATAGGAAGCCATCCAAAACTTCAACTCTGTATTCTGCACTGTTTATCATAACTTATATTGGGAAGATTGCCTATTCATAAGTAATTTGAAGAAACCCTAAGACATAGGAAGTCGCCACGCAATTATAATTTAAAGCAAACAGAAATAGTGCCAATAGCTGGTGTCCATTCTGTAGGAAAGTCATTCATTCCTAGGCTTGGAGTCCTGAGGTTAGTGGAGAGGGATAACCGACTTGAAGGGCTAATTTTCACAGTGAACTTGGAGGCTAAGGGAGTTCTTTGTTATACAGAGAGTGTAGTCTGTGCCTCTCTATCTACTCCTGGTGTGAATGTCACCTCAGTCACAGCAAAGCCACAATCATTATGTGCACTTTTGTGCTTATCAATAATCCAGAGATGTTGTGACGGGATGGGAATGGCTCTCAGCTGGGGGCAGTGCTTGCTTTGCATAAACACGGCCCCGGGTTTAAGCCCTGGCATCACACAAAGCTAGGCATAGTGATATATGCTTGCAATCTGGGTGCTGAGAAAGTGGTGCATGAGGATCAGCAATTCAAGATTATCCTTAGCTACATAACGAAATAAAGGCCAGGCTGGAATACACGAGACCCTTCCCCAACCCAACCCTAAAAGGAAATATAATGAACCTGAAGTGTGCACAGATAAATATATTGTGCAATTACTGAGAACACACCAGAAGGCCAAGAGCAGGAGGGTACAGCACAATCCATATTCCTTGAGGTCATGGATTGGCAGGTAATACTTTATAGACCTGGCTGGTGGCCAGATGAGGTTGATGTAACTTCTTCCCCCTTCCTCTGCCATACATATCCAAAGTCAACGTCTACTTCTGATAGAGATGCTACCAACCAACTTCCCTGACCGTCAATGAGACTCAAGGACTTGGCAATGTTCTCCTGTGATAACTGACAATCTTTGAAAGCTAGAATGTGGAAATTTCATACAAGTTATCAGTCCTCAAATACAAATTCTAACAATTAACTGCATAAAAAATGAAGAGTTTCCAGACATTTCTTGGTAACTATGCATAATCATTGCTGTTTTAAAGTTGAATGGGGCATGCTATTAAAAGAACAGTAACCCTAAATTTTTATTCTTTTAAAAGTATTTTTAATTTGTATGTGTATGAGTATTTTGCCTAATGTATGTGGGAGCATCCCATGTGCCTGACACAGCTACCAAGTGTCAGATCCCCTTTCGCTGGAGTTATGGGTGTTTGTGAACTGCCTGATGGAGGTGCTGAGACTCAAAGCCAGGTTCTCTGAGGGACCAGCCAGTGCTCCTAGCCAGCACACGGTCTCTCCTCCTTAGACTATGGTGAATTATAGTCTAGGGAATTGTAGCAGGGCAACTTACCATGCAGTGTGTAGTTCTAACAATTGTTCGCAACTGTACAGTGAACCAAGCCGAAGTGTTGAATAAAACAGACGGGAAAACAAGAAAATAAAACTCCACAGGGGTCCATGGGAGCAGTTACAGACTTTTATTTAATTTCAATGGAGATTAAAATTGAGATAAACATAACACATTGTCTAGAGTGCTGTCATGAGACACCATCATGTCTGCATAGGCTGTATTCATATAAACAGGATTTTGCTCCCAAGTAGCCATTAATGCAGCTGGGAAAACTGCTGGAAACTGTCCTAAACATGATATGTTTTCCCATGGCTGGCTGCTAGGCAATTCTGTGAGGATATTTTAAAAATAATAGGTAGTTCTCTGTGCGTCGACTTTCTATTGGTGTTAAATAAATTGCCGCACCGAAAAAGAAAAAGAAAAAGAAAAAAAATCCAGTAACTCATTCACTTATGGTGCTCACACTTACGGTGCTCACACTCGTTCACTTATGGTGCTCACACTTATTTACTTACGGTGTTCACACTCATTCACTTATGGTGTTCACACTCATTCATTTACAATGCTCACACTCGTTCACTTACGGTGCTCACACTCGTTCACTTACAGTTCTCATACTCATTGACTTACGATGCTCACACCCATTCACTTACGGTGCTCACACTCATTCACTAATGGAGCTCCTGAGTCACAGCTGGGTTTTCCTCAGTGTTTCACAGGCTACAATGAGGGCTGAGACCCTTTTACAGCTCATAAACTGAGAAAGATTTAGTACGCATGGATACAAACATAGTCATACGCTCCATAGCTAGAAATTGTCATCTTATTTTCTAAATAATTGTGCAATTTAAATAAAATTATTGAATAATTTTATAAATTTAAATAATTTTCAAAATACTGTCAGACAAAAATACACGGGCTATAAAGTCTTCTTCCATGTTGTTGCCAGTGCTGTTATTTGACCTGCACAAACCTCTGGTAGCACTGGCCTGTGGCTTTGTTCCCCTCCCAGCATTTCTTCTCTGGTCTTTAGTATGTAAATTTGAGAGCCTCTTGGGTTAGGCTCTGGGTAACAAAGTCCAGGAAAGGACTCTGCAGGTCCAGCTGCCCTCTGAGCACAAATATGCAAACCAGGGGCTTGCACGATGGCAGTAGGAAGGGTGGTTGCCACTAAGTCTGGAGTCCTGAGCTCAGTTCCTGAGATCCACAGGATGGAAGGAAAGAAAAGACTCTGCCACTGACCTCTACATATGCATGGTGACACGTGCTCCTTACACATACTCACACACACACACACACACACACACACACACACACAACAAAAAAATGTAATAAAAACAAGAAAGATAAAAGCAAGAGCAATGAATGGACTCATTGTCAGGATTTAATCTTTGAAATGATTCATCCTAACGTTTGCTGAGAAATTTATTTCTACTTTTTGCCCATAGCAACATTCATCTCCAGTCACTGCCTCTCCTGTCACAGAAGAGGGCATAACCCCAGCACAGTGTGTGTGGGGGGGGGTGCTCTGAGGTTTTCTGTCCGCTGTGAATGTGTTGTTCTCATTGATTGA